TTGCTATGCAATTGAACCTATGCAACGTCTTCAAATCAGTTGATCCATCATTCTACGAATCGAAAGAACGTCGATGATTGCAAGCATCAAAAAGTTCGTTGTGGAGGAAAAAGAAGTCTTTCCTTAGACTTACGTCGCTCATCTTTAAACGTTGTATACGTTTCGAAACATTCTCTTAATTATTGCCACTGAATTATGAACAAAAAGGTTAAAAAAAGCGAAATGAAAAACGACAATTTCCGACAAACTAACTTCACGAAGGCAATATACTGTCCATAATTGACCAAAACACGAGCGTTGATATACCAATCGGATTTTGCATTCACTGTTGGGGGCAATATCGCTTCTCCCTCAATCGAATAAGTTTGTGGTTCATCATTTCCTTCACCCAACACGACTCTATTTATCCCCAAAAAGGATACGACAACGGCTATTAAGCACCAACGCATAATCTCCTGAAATTTAAATACCTACGTATGACCACATATGCAAATTTCAACATGATTCCGTTCGTTGAAAAAAAATTGACAAACTCACCGTAATATCAACGAAGTGAAAACAATAAACGATAAAGAATTTCATCAAACTTTTCAATCTCTTCTACTCGCTCAAATAACTCACAAATTAACGAAACTGAATATATATGTAGCACTACGGCACTCAACAATTATTCGTCTTTTCCAAATTCCCCTTCAAATGATCGTCTTTAATCGAACTGGAATAGATATACTCTATGGTTATGTAATGAACCACTGATTTCGTATAGACAATCTACTGAAGATTTAAACAATTAATTTATCATTTCAAAAGAATCAATGAGTCAATCTGAATCAAAATTTCACAGAAGAATGATTCGAAATATCGTGAAGGCATTGACATCAATTTATACAAAAACGGAAGAATTCAACGGTTAAATATGAATAATTTGAATGAAATAAAATGATTATTGACTAACAAAATAACAACTGTCATAAGAAAATTTTGCAACCTATTACAATAATTAAGAACGCCGCATTACAATAATGCAAAAAAAAAACGTCTATTCTTCACCTCCCAATTAGCAATAACAATAATAATATAACGTATAACAATGATAATAAACCAATCAACGAGGCAGTAAAACAGTGATTTCTTAAGCGAACTTAATCATACAATAAAATCACAAGAAACTAACAAAATATTATTTAAAAAATCATGCATCGATTTCTTCTGATCAAAATTCCAATTACAATTCGGACAAAAAGTTACTTTTGGAATTAGTCCTGTCAAACGATTACATGACGTAGGGGATGTTGTGTGCAGAATATTCAACACTGAATAATGATAAAAAACAATGATTCTCATTCATTAAATGCTTTGCTATGATTTCGCTTATTTGGATGGTTTTTGCTCGAAAGATCGAAAGCAGTGTTGGCAAATACTCGATCTTATCAATTAATTCGAACAACGATTATTTCTTTAGTGATAGCACACAAAAAACATTCGTCGAAAACATCTTTAAGGATTGAAAAGTACCTTGCAGAACATCAAAAAAAAAACAAGAAATTTGTTCAAATCTTAATGAAATCGATGAACATCAAACTGAATGAACACAAATGACAAATTATAATCAAACTGTAAAATGAAACAATCAAGAATTGATATCATCTAACCAATAACACACGAATGATCCACGCAACGATAAGCTTCACTGAACATTGAATACCATCGACTACCAATTAAACAAATAAATAAGTTACACAACTGCTTGATGAAGAATAACCGTGCTCTCATCTTGTTCAGAGGAAAACAGAGGGAAAAACGAATGAAAACATTATTGAGATATTTAAAAGCTGAAAAAAAGATATGACACGAAGCTCTTATTAAAAACTTCAAACACGGGACTGGATGACAATCTGTAATTGAGAAAACAGATTACTCAGTGAAATCAGACACACATATCAATATCGTCACCGTCAGATGCAATGAAATTATCATTCCAGACAGCAAATAACTTATGGAATTTTCAACGTTTTTACGTCTAAGATCATGTCAGTTTAATAACATAAACTGTTTAATAAGTACGTGATTACTATAAATAACAACATATGCCTACTTATAGGGACTGATATTAAAAACGTTACCTATAAACGGCATATAGTTAAGGTTTTTAATATCAGTTTTCGATCTCGGTAGATCTTAAATATCCCCACTTTTCAACCGTTTACCAGAATTGATCGCAAACTTTCAGCCAGAATTATTTTGAAAATCTGTGCAATTCCGATGGATTTTAAACGTTAGAACTGAGTTTCGTTGCTCGCTAACTCAATGAACATATNNNNTTTTAAGCACTAGTCATTAAACATATAATTTTGCAATAAGAGACTTATTCAACAAAAATCTTCTTCAACTCTAAGAATATTTTAAAAGACTCTATTAGAAAAACAAAACTAAACGAGAAGATGAAACAAAAGAGAGAGACGAAACACCGACGAAATATGATGTCATGAAGGAAAGCAAAAGAGAACAATTCTGATAAGAGCAATAAATGAATCAATAAACAATCTGTCGAAGAAGAAACCGCTTGAGTCAGAATCGATTTCAATTGAAACGCTTCAAGAATTCCTCAGCCGAGACACGAGCACGTGCATTTAAAGCCAACTTCATATCATTTATTTCCTGCAATCGGTTACATTAGCTATACTTACATATTATTCCACAAATATTACTACATTCGAATTAATATTTATACACTTTTATTATTATTTTAAAAACATTATTTCCTTTTCAGATAATTAAGTTTTAGGTCGTACGAATTTTTCAACTGAATTCATCGACATCTATGAGATTCAGATGGAACAAGAATNTATGAATGGGTGAACGAAACGATCTGTTGATGGATGAAAAAAGACAACTTGTGCATAAACCAAATAACCACTTAATAATAACCTTATCAATTTCTTGCATAAAATGAATCAGAAAATCGACTAGTTTATGTTTATACATCATTTCTGTATGCGTTGCAGTGATCAGAAATGAGATGTCGTAACCAGCTATGGGTTTCCTGAAACATATGCCATCAGATAACATCTTCAACTTACGGCCGTGGAAAGCAATCATTAAAAGAAACTGCATTACCGTGAAATTTCAACAATTAATGCTTGACTCTTTACTATAAATGATTCGCTCTTTTGCTACCATAACTTCTGTCCTCAATAATCCGAAGTTGAGACAGACTGAATATAAACTTATCAAATCAAAACAAATACATGAAGCCAACAAAACAACTGTTCGAACCTTCTCAGTATGATGAAATTATCGGCGCGTTGGCACATAAATCGAGTGAATTTATGGCAGAGAATTTTCTCGATTTCATCCGCTTGCTTAACAGCGATACTGACTCGTAATGAATTAATAGATGGTTCGATGAGAACACGTTCTTGTTTGCTGCGTGACACAACCACCGGGGTTAACAGCAGTTCTTTGGATGTGCATACTTCAACCTGCATTTGTGTGCTTGTTAGACGATGCTCTAATTCAGTTGCACTTACGAAAACGATGCGGAACCAACCTCGGGCTTATTGTGCCTCTCTACAACCTGCGAGCTGAACTGCTCAAGGCACATCGCAGCCTCTAATGTCCTCCTGACTGCCTCCAGATAGGGTTGTAACGTTGCGCTCTGCAAAGAGCAATTTTCATTCACATCAAAACAACAGAACGACCAAAATTGCAGTTTGAAATGGAATCTAAACCATAGAGTACTTTTCAGCATTCTTAGGGCAAATCCTTAAAGAAAATGATGCCACCGCATTTCGATTATTAGCACTGAAATCAAGCAAAAAGAATCCGACAAGCACTTACCATATTAGTTGTAGTTTTTATAATTGCAAATTAATGCGGCTGCACACGAACACAGAATAAACGAACAAAAATAACAAACACACAAATGTGCCTTCAGTACTGAACGAAACAGCACTCAAACAGCACACTCCAATTATCTGGAAATATTCCTTCAAAGTAAACACTTCTGAGGACAATCAATACATCTACGGTTAGAGAGACATCGAAA